TGACGCATACATTCATTTTAATATTACGACTTACGAACTCGAAAATATAAACTTTCGACACACTATAATGCATGTTAAATAACAGCACATGGTACGCACGAGATTAAAAAAAATATATATTTAATCATTTTCGTGATGGATTTTGTAGAAAAAATGTTACAACGCACAGCTACTGTAACAGTTATATGAATCACGTTGCACAACAAGTTTGCGCGTGCCGTGTATTACCTCCTCAGTGCGACGATGTAAATAAATCCTCTCAATTATCCCACATCTATGGATCGGTGTGAAGATATTATCTAAGATAATTCCGAAGGTAAAACGTGGTGTTTAAAATTACGTATAGGTATATTCTTATTGCACATGCACACTATTTAGTATCACCACGAAATCGGTTAAAATTAAAACAACTGCACTAATTTACTTTTTACGGCAGTATTACTATAATTAATCTCCACATAATTATATTATATTATATTTATCACGAATACTCGTCTTAAAACGAGAAAGGTGAAGGAGAAAAAGGAGAAGAAAAAGACACGTCTTACAACGCATATATATCGTTCGGGTGAAGTCTTGGCGATTAAAAAATACATGTGCACTACGTAACCTGTTCTGGTACGAATTGGCAACCCAATATTATTTTTGTTGGATCTAAAAGTTAACATTAAATTCATCACTTCTGCACAACTCACGATCTCGGAACTAAAAGTTTGAACGTATGACTAAAGACAAAATATTTGAAAAAAAACACATTTTCCTCTAAGAAAGCGTGATAAACGTTCGTAAACCAATTAGGGGTTTAACTTATTGTATATTTTATTATTACACTACATACTCTGTGCATTGTCTATACTAGCTGTCGCAGTGCAGAATTGTTTAGAGATTTACTTTTACTCGAGAACAGTGGTACGTATAGCATACAGTTACAACAATACATAACGTTGCACTACGGAAAATCTATAGTCCAATCTTCCTTCTGCAATTATTATTACGTTTCCATAACAATGACTACTCACGTTGTTATCTAACCATACTGTGTATAATGTGGCTGATAAATACTATATGCTTTGATCGCTCCTTCGTGAAGAGCACATTCGTTGATATTGCGTATCTACAATAAATTTAAATCAAATTACATGTGATGCGTTATTATGAGTGCCTATAAAAAAGTGATAGATTAAAATACAAAAATGTAAATACTAAAAATAAAAAATAAATAAATGATAATATTTTTAATGTTAAAATATAGATTAAAATACATGTTATGTAACTCACTGTGAGCGGTAAAATCCTTAAGCAGAAGAGTTTAATTTTTTAAATCATTTTAACTACACATAAGAATTATTATATTTCCATAACTCAAAAGAAATATTTAATCATTTATTTTTATTTCGTTGCTTCAATAATTTTTCTTCTTACCGACGAGTCTTTAAAATAGTTTTTAAGCACCAATTTTTAAAAGACAATAGTGATACATAATGTTACGAGTCATAAACTTAATTCCATTACGTTTAGGTACATGATACCATTAGTATTATAACAAACGGAATTAATCTCAATTTATGACTACGGTCAATGATCTAAAGTCTTATGGCGCAACGAATGTGAAAATTTAACTTAAATAAATGTCTTAAAAATATTACTATTATATTAAAAAATATACGTTTTATATATACTTGTGGTCATTGGATATTAAACACGTGTATAAAGGTCGTATAAAAATTTTGGAGACATTTAAATTATTTTGTAATGATATATATATGTTTGAATAGTAGAACTGATTTTCAGCTTTCAAGTAAAACTATTCATTTAACAAGTACAATAAATGTTTGAAAATATACTTGAATGGATCATCTCCTTCCAATCGTAGTCGTTTTTCAGTGTGTTATAGTTGTAAGTGGAATTGCTTTATTTTAGAACTAAACATTAAGTGGTATTTTTTTATTTGTGCTCGAGTACAAGAACTCTTAGATCAATAACGTTTAATTTATATTACGTACGTTTTGATATAATCAAATTAGTTTTTTTTTTTTTTAAATATTTTTGTGATTCGTAACAGTCAGACGGTAACGTAACAGTTATTTAATTATAAAACTAACTACTTCACGATGGTTAAACATAATACAACGCAATCATACACCGCGATGACTGTGCTATACAGATAGTGTTGAATTTAATCCAAGATATACGGTGTCGTCCGACCTATGACTGTGCACTTGTATAAATTTCTTGATTTTCTACCCGGCACCCGGCGCACTTGTCTGAAATTTTTTTCTTGCAGACCGTATCGTGAAAATTTACGAGTCAACGAAAGCTAAATACATACGTTAGTTAGCTTCGGTATATAGTCTATACCAGAGGTGGCCAAACTTTTTTCGGCCACGATCTACTAAAAATATACTTCACCTTTGAAGATCGACTTTCTTGAAAAATTTTTTTATAAACCAGAATAAAAGATAAAAACTATACAGATAAAATTTATAGACAATTTGTTCATAACCTTCACGATTAATTTTCGTGCGATTGGCCTAAAATTAAATTCTAACATGATCGACTCTGAAATCGTCCGCGATTGACCGTTTGGCCGCCCCTAGTCTATACTGTAGAGCAGCGGTTCTCAATCTTTTTGAGTTCGCGACCCCCTATAATGTTACCAATATGTCTAAAGACCCTTTTGTAATGTAAGCATTGAAAAATTGTAGAAACTGTTATTATTGTATTTATTTTTATATATATTTTACAAAAAAAAAGTATATTATAAAAGCTGAATGGCGTTAATTAATGGAAAAAAAATAAAATAAAAAATATGTAAATTTTAATATTTTGTTAATTTAATGACTTTTTTTACTGTTGTTGATGTGAAATAATTTTTTTTTCACATGATGTGACCCTAAAAAAATTGTTGGCGACCCTCAAGGGGGTCGTGATCCCTCGGTTGAGAATCGCTGCTGTAGAGTATAGGATACTATAGTGTAGTTACGGACGATGAGTTTTCGATTTTTCGTTCACAGCCTTTGGGCGAAGAATACTAGTTAACATTTATGACTAAATTCATCCGTGCACAAAAATAATATGCGCACGCGTGCGACTCGTGCTCATAATCACTTTCAGGTTTCGATTATGCCCAAAAGCAAGAGCATGGAACACGAAATATAATATAATTTTTGCACACATTATATGCGTGTCTATGGACAAACGGTGCACACGAGGCAGTCTGCGGCGTATTCTACACCGGGGTGTGTTCGATTAAAGTTGATGTCCTGATTTTGTTGACGAGTTATGTAGTAATACATATTTGATTTGGATTTTCACTATCTAGTGAACTATAGTTAAAATACACGACGAATAATTATTATTATTTCTCATTACCAAAACTTTTGCGCAACATTATGGAACGCAGATATGTACAACGAATTGAACTCGACGAAATTATTTTTATATAATAAATACTTAATAACCGTACGGTGCGGTATAAAATCTTATTTTCATTTTTGAATCTAATTTGTAACCAATAAACCAATAGGTTCAAAGATCATGCGTCTGTACTGCAAAGGAGACCATAAACATATTTTCGCAATTACGATTTGTTGTGTTATGATAATACTATGATGTAACATTACAATATAAAGTGGTGTAGATGAAATATGAGGTATATTCTTCGATTTAAAGTTATATTGACAGTTACGTTGTTTTGCAACAGACAATTATTAATTTATTTATTAAATGGTAAAAAACCATGAAAAATAAGGTTTTAGTTATTCGTGTAGAGATTTTAGAAAGTATCTACCGTCAAAATAACATATTCCAAAATCTGTTTGTTTCTCATTTTGATATTAAAATAATATTAGTACACGTTACAACACATACCCTTCCAACAAAAGTTCTCCTCAAACCAACAGTATTCCTAAAGCAATGGATTCAAATTTTACAATCCAATTCAAACTATTTTCTACGAATTCATTTTGTTGAATCATAGATCGCGTTAAAAATATAAATGTGCCAATAGTCACACGAACCAAGAGGCACACGAAAAAATGACATTGTTACGTGGATAACGCATGCATGCATTTATAGGGCCTTTGGCAGCGATGAATATCACTGTTCAACAATCCGCAGCGGCCTCGAGCGCGATTTGCAGACGCTGCAAGGGCGAGAACGGGCTGGAAAAAAAATCGTGTATAGTGTATAAATGTGTAAACATATTGCGCGCGAGTAAAAACCATTTTTTTTTTTCACAAACGTTGCCCGGGCAACTTCAACGGACCGATGATCAGGGCCGGATCAAGGAGGAAGTGGGCTTAGGGGGCTATAGCCCCGGGCCGCAAGTTAAAACGGGCCACGATGAGCCGCTAATTTTTTCCATATAAAATGGCATGAGAATTAATGTGTTGAAAAAATAAAATGTTATTACGATTTTCAACAATATGCGAATGAACTTAATTTATTTTGATTAACATTTATTACGAACAACTAAATCCGAAGATGGAATTTTTTTTTTTTTTTTTTTTTTGTTAAAGAGCCTCACTAAAAGTAATGGCCCCCTCGTTTTACGACCATAACCCGGCTGTGCCGATGAATGAAAACGGTCGAAGACGAGCGCGCGGCCACGAGAGAAAATCCTGCGGCGTACAGCCGCCGGAGTCGCGCGCGCGTAACGGGAAAACAACTGTTGCCGTAACCGCGTTCCGTCCGAACGTTTTTCGTCGTTTTACCCGCCGAGATAATCTAGCGGAAGGTCGCGCGATAGGGTTCAACGGATGGCGCACGGGCGCGCGTCGCAACTGGTGCGCGATGGCGCTCGGGCAACCCGTCGGTCATCGCTTGCGCTTGGCGGCGTTGGTCGACCGCGGCGAACGGAGTACGGCGCGGGAGCAGAGACCTTTCGCCCGGCGCATCCGGGGACTTGCTCAACGCGCGCGCCGCGAATCAAACGCCGCCGCCAAGCGAAACACCCAAGTCCCCACTGCGGGATGGGCTCGCGATCGTATAAAAAGCAAATACCCGCGGCGGATCCGGCACAGTGTTTATTTTGGGCTCGCCCCAGTGGTCGGCTAAAGATCTGTACGTCACAAGTGGTAACACAACGCGTTCCATCGCACCAGCGTCCGAGGGTCGGGTTTCACGTGTAGCACGTCATTTCGTACACGCAGCGGCATCGTCACCGTCGCCGAAACACGATGGTAAGCACGAGCAAATACGATCTGAAAATACACGCGCGCGCTCAGTTCACCGTTTCAATACGTTTTGACACTTCGTCCGCAACATCTAGTGCTACCTGCGCGTCTTGCAGTTCGAGAGTAAAGTGAACATTCTGAACATTTATCGTGTTCTATTGATTTTTTAAAATCGACAAGAATATGTGTTTGTATAATTTTTTTTTATTTTTTTTTTTTTTTTTTTTTTTTTTGTTATTAGTTTTTCTCTCGATTCCCTTTTAGCGAAAAAAAACTATATAAACTATTAAAAGTTTATGTTTTTATCGAAAAAATTTCAGTTTAGCTATTCAATTCGATGGTTACAAAAGTAAATTAAACTTTATAGTAATGACGAATAAATATTTTTTTTACTAACGATAACGTTTGAACTGTTGAAATTTGTTTCATTGAATATTATCAAGGGTAGTTGTTGGTAACATTAATAAGTCAGGTGAATTAAATAAACTTTTGAACGACCAGCGTCTTTTATTATTATAGCTACCATCAATATTAATTGATAAAACTAAGAAGACAACTATTTTTCCTGCATGGTACCCCATACACCGATGTTAATATTTATCTATATCTTATAGTGTATTCATACGCACTAAACGTATAAAACATTATATTTTATATAAATTCACTAATCATTTAAGCAAGGTTGAACATTTAAAATTAACAAAAACATTATTAGTAAAAATAAATTTAAATATATTTTTAATAATTTATCGTTATGATGGGTTCGTAGTTTAAATAATGTGTACTTTAAAACATGTAGAAACAGAAAAATAGTAATCATGCATTATGCTCCTAGACTAAAAAATATATTTTATAATTTAAAAATATATATATTTTTTCTTTCTGTTTTAATACAAATTCCATAGTTATGATAAAACATTGATTTTACGAATACATTTTTTTTCGATGATAGGTACGTAAAATCCTGTATTTATAAAAGAAAACAAAAAACATTTTAAATTATTCAATATATCAAGTATATCAAGTACTAAAAATTTAATACTTCTTTAAATTAATAATAAATGATTCCTTTATTAATAAAAATTGATTAAAACATATTTATTTTTTTACGTAATAATGTTATATGTTAAAATGTTAAGCAGTAAAAAACATATGGTGTCTTGTAATACTTTCGACGCAAAAGTCGCTATATTCAGTATTTACTTTATTAGCCAAATAACTTAAAATATGATCAGTAAAATGTAAACAAATTTAGTTATAGTAGATTCGTTTTCTAAAACTTAATGAAAGTTAATAATTGTTTTATTTTACTTAAGTAAAATTCTTTGTGCTGTTAATATAATTGATAGAAATTTATATTATCTTATTAAATTGATGATGCTTCTGACATAACAACTTTTAAATATTATTTTAAGTATTTGTTTAATGTATTTATTTACATTCTTTGTGAACTATTTCAGTAATGATATTTTACTGTACTCTATACATTTCAATGTACGATTATGATTGATTTCAATTGCCGTACAATACAAATGTCATTGGGTATACTATTTACTGAGAGACTATAAAAGAGTACGTCATGCAGAATATCTATAGTTAGCAAACGCAATAGATAGGTTTGATAACTCATGAAAATTGATTGATTTAATTACCATATATGATCAATCGTAGAGTTATCTACTAACCAAAACCTACATTTTCGTTGTGTAACTGCTTATAATTTTAGATACTTTGTTGAGTATAATTAATATACACTTTCTTGTGAGTAATTGCATAACTTTGTAATTGGATGGGTCTATGAAAAACTGGATGCAGACAAAATATAATGGGAAATTAAAGGAAATCCAATTTATCTATATGGATTAAACACCACACAGGAAATTATTCAATAACATTTTATTTTTAATTTTAAGTTGAAAAATTAAGTTGACTGATAGTGGAATGTTTTAGTGCTTAGTATAATTCATACAACTAAATGTTTTACCCTTAGATATTTTAAAAGTAGGACAATCATTGTAGGTGTAGAAGTAAAAATATTCAGTTTATAATTGTAATTGAATAATTTAATTTATAATTTAAAGCTTGTTAATTAAATATTCTTTACAACCATTTTGATATCGAGTTTTATTTTTATTTTATGAGCAAATTGTTTAAAAATCAGTACATTTTTTGTAGATGTTTGGTTTTCATTAATGGAGTTCATTAAAAATTTCACACTTAAGCATATTTTGTACTATTTGGTTTTATAAATATTGAAATACGTTTTATTAATAAGAAATATAAATTAAAATATTAGATTTTCATTATCAAATATAAAATTGATTTGAAATTTATAGTAAAATATAATTTATTAAAACTAAAAGTATTTATTTTATAATATTAATACAAATTCATGAACAACTATTTTATAGTTAAATTCAATTTCGATATTCGAATATTTTTTATGAGTTCGAATCTTAATTGGAAGTATATTGAACTTCAAGTTAATAATTATTTTATAATAATAAACCAGAATTCATCTTTAAGTCAAATTCACATTTGATTATACAATTATTATCATATCGATTTATTCTAGTTTAAATTAAGTTCGTGTCGAATGTAATAATTAAACAATTTATTTGTTATACCAAAGACGCCAATGATGATTTAAAAAAGGATGGAGAGAAACACCTTCTTTGTCCAACAAACTGTTGTCGTATCTTATGTGCCAGAACGGCAGACCATCATAATATGTAACACTATACAATTTCATTATTTATTGTGTCCTTATTCGTCGCGTTTTTTTTTTTTTTACGTAACAATCATCTTTTCTTACTCAGCTCGGGCTGTAGTAATACGTGTTCTACTTATGTTTAATATATCTCATTGAGCAATATATTTTCTATTTCTTTGGCAGTAATCCACATAAAAATACTGCGAACTTTGCTAACCACGTTCACGTACGATAATCAATTCCCACGCCATAATTATACATATTCAACAGATTAAAATCGAATTTGTGTTTGTACCAAGGGCATAGGTAAAGATTATTTATAACGGGGGTTGATATATTTAGGTAATAATAATTATTATTATAACTTATTAATTTACTAGCTGTGATTTTAGTCATTGGGAGAGGGTTTAAATCCTTCACTCTTACCAACACCACTGATTTGTACATCTAACGATTAGGCTATAACCTGATGTGATATACTTAAATGATCGATAATTCATTGGTAACCGAGGTTTGAAAACTCGTATCTATAAATACACTTACGAACATAATATAATATATAATATGGTTATCATATTATTATAATATGTGTACTAACAATTCGTTTATAAAAAATAGTAATTAATAAATTACGAAAAATATTAATAAATAATAACGAAAATGATCTAATCACTACATGTTAGATTTCTGAGATTAAAATGCGATAAATTTATTTTAAATTATGATTTATTTTTTTCCGTATTGTCTTAGTTTTTATCATTACTTTCTTCGAATTTTATTACATAAAAACTATTCCCTCAGATTGGACTGTTTCTTTATTCGATTGAATTGTAAATTATTATTATCAAACAACATATAGATTAACTGCGAATGGACATATATTTTGACTTTTATATACGTATTGAGACTACTATAACGGATACAGTGATAGACCATTACGTGAACGGTCAATTGAATAACTCGTGATTCCGCTATTAAGCTTTTACTTGTAAGTCGCTCAAAGAATAATAATAAAAATAATGAAACACTACTGGTGTAACAAAAGTGCTCGCGATTATGAACAATATATGTTATATACATGTATATAAACAATGAATGCGTTTTCTTGTGGTATTAATACGTCGTTAGGTGACTACTGGCTATCAAAGACGACCATGCGGTGAAAGTGTTGAAGGGGTTATTTGCCCTTCACGTTTGACGAAAAACCAAAAGAGTAATGAATAAAAAAAAATCCACATTTCATGTTCAAAAATAAAATTGTGCAATAGTTTTCTCTCTTTATTTCTCTCTCTCTCTCTTTCTCATTCTTCCTTGTTTTTCGTCATTTTCACCAGATCACAGGGCTATACATTGCTGACGATGTGTAGTACATAAAAAAAATGATAATGTTGGTGATAATAAAAAAAAAAAAAATTACCTAGAGCGTTATATATTTTTCTTGTTTGTTATTGAACGCAAACTCGACGATGGTAGCCGGACAGGCAAAGATGGCCCGAGGACATAAACAAATATTATTATTATGATAAAAATATTATTATCAACTTAGCTTTCTATCATCGAAATTTTCTATTATATACGACCCATTAGAATTATAACCGTTCTATGTAGACGCGTGTAGTTGCGGAGTTTATTATTGACAAGTTTTTGTACAAGAGTAGATGGCCACCAAAACGAAAGCAATGGTACAACAAATATTTAGCGCTTAAACGTGAACGATGTACCGGAAAATGGATCACTTTCAACACGCTGTTTCCTGAAATAATGAAATCTCCGTTTTAATGGCAAATTCATTGATAATAATGATTCATATTTATAATATTACGTTAGATATACCTAGTACCTGCGTATAAATCGTAAACCCCACTTATAAGTATTAAAAGTTAGGAGATCGCGGCCTCCATCCTTACAGGTATTTTTCAAAGAATCCCCGATAAAATTTCACTATACATCTAAATAATGTTTGATCTGATAATAGTGATAGTCACTTTTACTGAAACTCGCATACCCCATGTACAGGAGGTAAATTAAAGCTCAACTGAAATATCAAACGGCCACTCTCGGTTATATTTTTATTTGATTTACTGCTTTAGTGAATTTTTGTATTTAGGTGTTCTAATTGTATTCCTTACATTTATTATACTATTAATGTTGAGTATTAATTTTTATGATTTTCTTCAATACGTCCTTCTTACTCATATTTAACTGTTATAAGTATAATAGGTTATTCAATTTATAATTTTTATCGTTTTTATCTTTGGTTTGTACTGCTATTAAACTAGATGCTTATCATGCACCATCAACTAATATAAAAAGTTATACCACTGCACGATCATTTTAACTACCTACATAATACTTTACTCGTACTTATTTTTTTTTCTTTTGCTAAGTTTTTAATGACTCTTATTCTTGCGCACGTAATAATACACAGAAAATGCTAATACTATATTAATTGTATAAAAAAACTTTCATTTTTGAATTCAGTTTCAATTTTATGTATATTACCATATTTATTGTATATTAATACATTCTAATTTAATATAAATATCAAAACGCCTTTCGTCCTCTCAAAATACCAATTTTCATTTCATATGTGCACTCATATGATAATAGTTAATTATGAATACCTATATCAAACGCAAAATACATACATATTGTATATATAAATATATTGGATGGGAGATATCAGTGTGAGATGATACTGATATCCATAATGATTGTTTCATAATTTCGAGTATAATTGAGAAGTTAAATTGGTTTACCATACGTGATGATAATCAAATTAAGTTTAAGAAAAAAATTCAGATTATTCAGAAAAATAGTAAAATGTTTTGCCAGACCATTTTTATTAAAAATTATATTTTTTAAATTAGTTTTATTATTATCAACGAAGTTAACTAACTTGTTTATCTTCTTCAAATATGATTTATTAAATTATTATTTAATACAATAATTATTATATTTTATTAATAATATATAACTTAAATGATTTTTATATTCGTGATATAACAATATGGTTACATATTGAATACATCGTATAATAATATATTATATTTTTCTCATATAATTTAATAGTTCAATTCGAACATGTGTTTTGTTTTGTTTTTTTAAATTTATATAACATCATAACATATAATATTAATGCAAAGTTCCCACAAGATTTTTATAATACTGTGAAACATTTATTTAAATATTACTTATTTATTTCATCAACTTCGCATTGTTGCATTTGAACATTCATTAAATGACTAAATATTAAGTTACTCTAGATTATTAAAATATTCATACATAATTTTACCAAAATGTCTTATATAGTAGTGCTACATGAACAGTACATATATAAATCACAAGATAGTTAATAATATTACAGATTAATGTACTAAATTTCAATTTAAGTATAAGTACTCATAATGCTGCAGTAAATCGAATGAGCTGCAATTAAAAATTGTGTTAACTCGATTTCCCCACATAAACGATGTAAGTACAAGTAATGAATTTCCTCTGTGTTAGGATGGGTAAGTCATAATCGAGAAATATTTTTTTTGCATTTTATTCTATTTTAATTCCATCAATTTATTAGCATTATCATATTTTAAATGGTAAATCTGAACTCGTGAAACATAATAGGTGTAATAGATGAGATGTTAAGTATCTTAGAAACATTGTAGTAAGCGTTTTTCATTAACTGTAAATCATGTACATCGAATGACACTAAGGAAAAACGTTATTATTTACAGGTTTCGATAAAGAATAACCAGATTAATTATTTTAATGCGCACCAGTGCATAACTAAAATATAACTAAAATAATATATATAACTAAAATATAAACTAAATTACCCAAGTGTTGTGAAATTGTTTTTCGACGTAAATACATACGTATATATAAAAGCTGTTACATTGATACATAGTATTGTTTTCTCATCGGTTCAATCTCGAGTAAATTTTGACATTAATTGAATAGCTGCAATATTCCTCGAGAATAGCCATATGAAAACATAATGGTAAGCACTACAATTGAATAACACTGCCGGTATGAGTATCAAAAGTGGTACGTGTACTTTTGAATTATTTTCCCCGCTCGTACACTGTATATTATATAACTATGGAGGTATATTACATATTGTTTATGAAAAACTATTCTTCATTGTTATCATAAATAAATACTTAAATGGATTAAAATAGGTACTAAAATAAATAAATATTTTATCCGAGTGATCGAACGTTTATTAAATCTCAACAAGATTACACTTTAAGCTGTTACACTTTGGTAAAACGAAGAAATTCATCGAGTATACGAGTATATGTTTTATATGTTAATCAAGATCAAAATTTCTAGATAAAAATACAACATTTCGGTGGTTTTCAGAAAAATATATTTAATTACCGACATATTTTAATAATAAATAAAATTGAAAAGTTATTAATGAATGATTACAGAAAAAAATATAAATATTAATGACATAACTTATGCCTTATAATATGATTTTTATAATATTAATTTTTGTCTTTTTTAGCATATCATATATTTAAAAATACAATTTATATTTTTTCAGTTGCTAATGAAATCACTGTTAGTAGCGATTGTATCAACGTCACTTGTTGTTGGTTTGCCGACCCCGGTACCGGACAAATCATTACAGCCTGTTCAACGTCAAAAGAAACAGTGAGTTTACTTAGACATACACATTCAAATATAATTTAATTAAAGTTTAATTTTTTCAAATTGCAATATTTGTTGGTGGTTAAAGCTTATTAATTAATTACCATAGATTTTCAGTTGTTTGAGATACACCTAAGAGAAGAAATATTTTAAAATTACACGATTTTCTCGATTATTTGGACCAATTATTGTTCATAAATTAAACATTATTTTATTCTTTTATATAAATATTTCAAAAAAGTATTTTTTATTTCCTTTGTAATTCCATATAACGGTCTATTATATTACTATTAATGTTTATTATAATCGTTTTAAATCAAATTAATAGACATTAGTGATTACTGATTATGGTAGATAAGGTATAAATGTAAAATAATTCCGTTTTAATCAAGTTTAAAGACGGAATTTATAAATTATATTGTGTATTAATTTATCAGTATGTATGTTACATAAATATTGTTTGTTTTAGCGCCGACAGTGGCTATGGCTCGGATGTAGTTGGTTATGATTCTCATCATTATGAAAAACCTAAAGGACATTGGGAAAAGAAGTTAGCCTGGAAAGAGGAATGGAAGCAAGAATGGAAAACAGTCAAGCAAGAAGTGTGGAAGACTACAGTGGAAAAAGTTAAGGTTCCTATATGGAAAGAAATCAAAGTCCCCATCTGGAAAGAAATAAAAGTACCTGACTGGAAAGTCATTCAGACTCCAGTGTGGAAAGAAATCAAAGTGCCTGTATGGAAGGAAGTGAAAGTACCCGATTGGAAAGTAATCCAAGTGCCTGCATGGAAAGAGATTCAAGTACCCGTGTGGAAAGAGATTCAAGTACCTGAATGGAAAAAGACTTACGTACCAGAATGGGTTAAAGAATTCGTGCCCGGTTCAAAACAACTAGGCAAAGACCATCATGGGTGGGAATATGTAGCCCATGATTTATGGAAGAAAAAGCTCATATGGAAACCGATATGGAATAAGGTATGGAAAACTGAGAAGAAACAAGAATGGGTGACCGAAAAGAAACAAATATGGAAGGAAGAAAAAGTACAAGTATGGAGGACGGAAAAGAAAGAAGAATGGATTGTTGAAAAGAAACAAGAGTGGAAAGAAGAAAAGGTGCAAATATGGAGGACAGAAAAGAAAGAAGAATGGGTTACTGAGAAAAAACTCGAGTACAAAACTGAGTGGAAAGAACATAAAGTTCCCGCTTGGAAAGAGATCCAAGTGCCCACTTGGAAAAAAGTCTATAAGCCAGTATGGGAAAAGGTTTGGGTGGAAGACCATCATGACCATCATGAATCTAGTGGTGGATATGATAGTCATCACGATAGTTTCAGCAGTGATGATGGCTATGGTTACCATAAAAAATGAATGACATGATGCCATGTTCGCTGTAAATCCTTCAAAAGTTACCTCTCCAGTCAATTTTTTTATTACACCTTATTGTAAATAATTTTCGTTAGTTTAAGTACTTTCTTCTTGATGTGTTTTTTATAGATTTTTTTAAAAATATAATAATGACAACATGATATTACCATATTTTGTTTGAAACCCAAACAATTAACGTTATTTCCGTTGAACAAATTTTAACCCCTTAATATAAGTAATATTGGCAACATATTTTACAGACGTATAAGATATATTGTCTAAACGGTAATATTATGTTCAAACATTATTCGCTAGAGGTCACTATTATAGTCGTATGATCCAAGTAATATCATGAAAAGAAAAAGGTTTAATTTGGTATATTAGACTAAAACAACTTAAACAGATAGGTAAGTACTAAATTTGAACGCTGACAATAACAAAACAAGTTGAAAACTTTCATTTTGGAGTAATATAATAAAAAGCTTCTATACTATTAATAACGTGTTTTTACAAAACTAAAAAAATATCTTTATGAATATATTTGATTTTCCCCTTGAGATTTTATTTTATGGTATCTCTATGGACCTAGGCATGAAATGAAAAATAACCAACTTACTTGCTTATAAAAAGATTTTTCCAAACTCAAATTTGTCCAGTATTTTAAGTAAATGTAAAAATTTATTGAATAAGCACAATGAATAATTTATTCAAATTAATGCTATAATATTCGTATAGAAACATAAATACGATCAACTATATAAAATTTAAAAAAATAATGTGTAATCAGATCAAGTATATGAAAAAAACATAATGAAAACTTAAATCGTAGCATCTATATTATTAAATTATTATTCATACCTTTTATGTGTCTCTCTAGTACACTCGTGATGTAACATGTTTTTGAGCATACACAGATAAGTTTATTTCTATTGGCACTTAGTGATTTTAACGACCGATTATTATTATCGCCGCAATACTAATTTAAATAAACCGTTGAATCTTTAAATATTATTGTTCAATAACATCATTTTTTAACGCTCATAGCATCAAAACGACATTAATTTCCAATGTAATTTTACCTACGTCATGCGTACCCACCCAATCAACGGATGATAATCATTTATAGTTCTGAAAAACATGATATTTTAATCATTAGTAATAAAGTGAATACTCAAATTGATCCGTACAATGTATTATATGATGTGTTGTACGCAGGTATCCTTAATAACATATGACTGTGTAGTTGTTAATGAAATTAGGTTCACGTTATGTTATACGTTAAACTTGTTTGGCGTAACCCATTTAGGTAATGCATACCATGCGGAAATCTAATGTTTTATTAATTTGATGTACAACTTAACTGTCTGTCTGTCAAATATCATCATTTGAGTTATGTGTACATTTCATTAATATTACCACTTTGTGTTACCTTTTATTGTCAAATCGTTTTGTTCTCGTTTTCTCGTTATACCACGCGTGTCTTAATAACAAAATGTTATTAACGTATATATATATAATATAATACTTAATAATTAAAAAGTAATTTAATTCCAAACAATTTTACAGGAGCATCAATTATAATTATAAACATTACATCTTTAGTACATATTATATGATATTGTATAATACATTCTCTATCGATCCTTTACGGTATTAATGATTTGTAGATTCATCAATTATAAAATATTTTTTAAGTTACTCATAAATTTAAATGCATATTTTAATTGGTATACGACGCGTTAAATTATAAAATCGAATAGTACTATTGACAATTGTTTTTTAAAAAAAATCAATTGTTTATAATTACAAACCAATATTAAATTATAGTTTAAAAAGAAATAATAACGTAATGCTTATTATTCAAAATGATTCGCTAAAATATAATGCCAATCGTAGATTTCACTTTAACATGATGTTAATAATATGAATATTGACTTCGTTTAAAATGTTATTAGAGAAACCGTTAAATACCTGGAGGTTAATATCAGTTAATATTTATTAACATGAAAGAGTCAATTTATACAATTTTAAATTTCTTAAACTGTATTACTTACTATGCATAATTGTCTTATTTAGAAAAAAATAAATTATAGTTATTTCAAACAAACTACATCCGTTTTCACAAAACGAAACCGATACGTCATAATGTACATTTTGGTTTGGTACATATACAAGGGTTTCGTAACAACAACTATTCGATTTCGACTAATTGATATGAAATCTGCAGGAAGATTCGTAACGCGCACACCTATGACCTCACGTTTCCGACTTTCTTTGGGTTTTGCCCGAGTGGGCAACGCTGTTCACGCCGACATAAATCTTAATAACGAATCATAGATCACCGTACTGCGGCAGTCCTGCACTCTATCGTTATTCGTAGGACGAAAGTCGTAACATAACAATCGATTATATAACGAATACAAATACATTACATATATATAAATACATAAGTGCGTATGTTGTAATTCCGTTTTGTTGTTGTTTCAAAACAGGTTCGTTCGATTCTCTTTGCGGACTTCACATCCGATCTAATATTACAGTACGAGTAGGTCCTACTTATATATTTCCGACAGTGGCGAGAAGTGACGACCGACCACACGACAACCATTATTGTTTGTACACGATCCGAATCGATCACTGTATTTTTAGTACGCATTTGAACTCACACATATACATACACACCTACAACACACAAACATTCACAAATTCATGCACAACTTCACGACAATAACGCAACACACATCGCTCCTCCGGTTATAGCAAAAACGGCGTGCGGTCCAAATATCAATTGTTGTACAACAATGGTGACCGTTGATTGCTCTTATTGTTACGCAATCGTGATAATTGTGGCTCGGGAATCGTTTACGCCTCGAATAATCAGATTTTAAGAAAACAGCGCCTCGGGCTGCAGTGACCCGGAATCATTTCAATTATTTATCTTAATGCCTTTACGCATATATTTCAGACGTAAATGAGTACATACGAAAACAGGTTAGTCTATCGTTTGTTAGAAAGTCCGAACACAATAAATTAGTGATGGGTCTTAGCGATTGAACACCCTTTTTCCAACAGCTATCGACAGGTGCGTTATCCATGCGTTCTATGTTGGTTGCCGTTCGACGGACGTATACAACGATACAGCAGTTATTAATACTCAGTACATGTACATCTTCCCAAGAAGAAAAACTGTTATTAACATTAGCGTGTAAAGTAATGAAATCCATATGTACCGCAGAATCTGTATAATATATATATATATGATCAAGTATTTAAAGTGCACTGAAAAAACTTATGGCGCCGTGGAACATTATTATAATACCGAAGTAGAGGCGTACATGTAAATTAGTCAAACGTCAACATACCATACTTTAAGTTTACATTTACGTACGAGTAGAATTTCCTATGTAAATATGAACATTTTTCATATGTAAACTGCGCCCAAATATTTTTATACGCTAAAAATGTTTAATGTAAAGTGCACCCAATTTCTTTATTCATGTTGAAAAGATATTACTTAAGCCGTGCTCGATTTGTAAAATATACAAATCTTTTAAATTATTAAAGTGTCCATGATTGTGTACGTTGTAACGTTGTCTCCGATTGAGCTCAGCTTACTAATACAAGTTGATTATTTATTTATTTATATAGTAATAATGTATTAGTTTAACTTAAATACCTGGTAAATATTGAAGTACTATTAACACTAAGTAAGAGCCTATGGTTATAAGGCCAATAAACAAATTAATAACACAAATATAGAGCTGAATTTATTAAAATAATATTTTACTTACTATCAGATATAAAATATAGCAACATGGGGTTTAATGGATATGTATATATGTATATATGTAATGGATTGTACAAGAAATAATTAATATGATATTTAATTAAGATTTACCGAATAAATCTAATCTGCCCCTATAATAAATTACATTCAAACATATACAATTATCGTACAAATATAATATTATATCAATATAAATAATTTTCTTACATATTATAGATAAAAAAAACACTTTATTACTAATATAATAATAAAAATAATATTTATTTAGCAGTTTTGAAATTATAAGTTATTGTTATTATTTTTTTTACACTACATGCTTGTATTGATAGACGTGAGCCTTTACTCGAATATTAAAATACCGCAGAGTATGTATCAAGGGTGTCATTTGGTGAGGGGCAGACTATGGAAAATGCCCCATTCTAAGAAATTTTAAAAAGTCCGCAATTCTTTGTCTGATAATCAAATGCTAAAATCGGTAAATAGTAAATTTTTATTTACTATTTTGTACTCAGAAATCAGATAATATTCTCTGTAAAATACACGTTCACGGTTTATTAAAAATTGGGAAACATTGGCTCCCCAGTTTTTAACAATCATTATGACTCGAACCTTATAAACTTTAATTTTGGTATATTATATATTTCTATATATGTGATCTTTATAAAACAGTTTTCATGATATCAATACCATAAAAATTGGGCTCATTTAAGCGCGTACTGGCCCACCAGTATAACGGGAAAATCCCAGTAGACCCTCTCAAAAATTATAAGACCTGGGCCTCTTACCAAATAGGTACCTGTAGTTTCAGGTAAATTTAGTGATTTTATTATTTCTAACAATTACAATACAATACTGATGGACAGTCGACTTCTTAATTTAGTACCCAATGGGAAATGAGTAAGACACACATTTTTTTCGAATAATTTAATTGATTTGCTTTTGGTAAATATGTCTGTTAAGATTATTTCGATTATTAAAATCATTCGATTATTCCATTTGATCATTCCTATCACTAATTGTAACATCATCAGCACAATCGGTAAGTAATGTTGCTGAAGTTCGGCCGAAAAAACGACCTGTATCAGCTCGGGAATACAGTAAATTGAAATATATTGCAATTTTTTTAGGTATACTCCCAATTTTGTTTTTTCCAATAACCTGCTTGATGCATTAACCGTTTTTGCAACTAAAAAAAAAATCCATCTGACGTTACATTTGTGGGTCATAAATTCATGTATTTTTTAAAATTATCATTAACTCCCCTTTAATATTAAATGATCGTGAACAATTTGTTTTTGAGTGAAAAAGTTTCATGTGTAATATATAATATATATTACACATGAAACTTTTTCAAATATTATTTAACTAATGAATAT